GTTTCAGGTTGGAGTTCAGATGAGGACTCTCCATCACCAGGCAAGCAGGATAAGTGTGCCAGTCAGTATCTGCCCCACCTGCGCTTCCAGATTACCAGTGAGGATGGCTTTAGCGTTGAAGCTGACAGCATGGATGGTCAGTATTGATAAACCTTGTAGTGACACTGTTATAAGAATGTCAGTTTCTTCCTTTCACACTTTGGCGCATTATTATATATTTCCTTTTACGGTGTTTTTTCAGTGGCGTGGAAGGCAGTAATGGATGGTGTCCAGGAGGCACGGGTAGGCTGTCGGCTAGAGCAGTTTCCCTTCAACAGGACAAGTGGTGCCAGGGTTCTGGGTGTCCTCCACGATGCTGTGCTCTTTCTGCTGGAGCAGCTGCAGGGTGCTTCTCTCTGCCAGAAACACAGTTTTCGTTTCCACCAGCATGAAGTACCGGAAGAAGAGCTGCCAATAAACCCCAGTGGCTGTGCCCGCGCAGAGGTCTATGTGCGGTAAGTATCTGTGAACTCGTGTATGCCTCACATATGACTTTGAGTTGTTTATTTGTTCCTTTCCAAATGTGGAAATCAAAAATTGGCTTTCTCCCTCCCCCCACACAGAAAATCTACCTTTGATATGTTCAATTTCCTGGCATCGCAACATCGTCAGCTTCCTGAGTCAAGGCCATGTGATGATGAAGAGGATGACGTTATGCTAAAATCCAGCAGGTTAGACACTCAGCAACATATTTGGAAAAGTTCACCCAAAATTGAAAATGCTGTCATTAATTACTCAACCTCATGTCACTCCAAACCTGTAAGACCTTCGTTCATCTTCGGAACACAAAGTAAGATATTTTGATGAAATCCAAGAGCTTTCTGACCCTCCCATAGACAGCAATGCAGCCGTCACATTCAAGGCTCAGAAACATAGTAAGGACATAATTGTGACATCAGTGTTTCAATTATCATTTTATGAAGCTACGAGAATACTTTTTGTGTGCAAAAGTCTGACACGATAGACAAGAAATTGTTGAACAAAGTCATTATTTTTGTTTTCTTTGCGCACAAAAAGTATTTTCGTAGGTTCATAAATTAAGGGTGAACACCTGATGTCACAATTATGTCCTTACTACCTTTCTGGGCCTTAAATGTGGTAGTTTCCTAGCTGTCTTACCAGGTTCAGAACGCTCTCGAATTTCATAAAAAATATCTTAATTTGTTTTCCGAAGATGAACGAAGGTCTTAAGGGTTTGGAACGACATGAGGGTGAGTAATTTACATTTTTGGATGAACTATTATTTTCCTTTTTTGTGCCATTTAAAAGATGATTTTAAAAAAGATAGATGAAACAAATTTCATGTTTATCAATTATAATACCAAAATAATAGATTTTTTGTAAGTATGTAAAGTCAGTGCATTACTAGTGTTAACATTTTAATGTTTTTTTTATGACTCATCCTGTTATTTTGGCTTCCCTTTAGACGAGCCACAAGTACGGAGTTGCCAGTGGCTATGAGGTTCAGACACTTGGAGAAAACCTCTAAAGAGGCTGTGGGAGTTTACAGGTAATGCCTTCCCGAGATGCAGGGTATTACAGCATAAAAACTAACTGTGTAAAATCGCTTAACAACAAATCCCATGCCAATAAAAAAGATGGAATGAACATAACTTTTAAGAGCAAAAGTAATTGGTGCAATTCCTTATCTCCATGACAGATCCGCTATACATGGTCGTGGACTTTTCTGCAAGAGGAACATTGAGGCTGGAGAGATGGTGATCGAGTATGCTGGCAATGTCATCCGCTCAGTTCTCACTGACAAAAGGGAGAAATACTATGACAGCAAGGTAAAAGTGATTTGTCCCAGTGTGATGCAGTTTTTGCTTAAATGCTCTTTTTTTCTTTTTATGCTCTTTTACAAAGTCTTGATTTTGTTTTGGGGGTGTACTAGAACATGCTCTCATACTAGGTTGTTTGAAAAACACATTATTTTTCACATATTTTACATTATTACAACACCTCTCTCCCCAGTCTGGCATATTCAGTGTAAATATTGCATCAAAATCAAATCAATTTGAGCGTGATTTAAACCTGGATGATTGTAACCACTCGTCTGCCTTGGGGAAACTAGCGTGTCTCCGACATAGTGATAACACTCGTTGCCTTCTCTAGTGCAGCGCAACCTGGTCTCCTCCCACTTGTCTGTATTTGTGATACATCACAAATCCCGGAAAATATGCGTTGTAGTCCAAACGAGTCATTCGTTGTAGTCTTTGAAAAGTGATTTCTGTTAATTAAAATATCTCCTTTTGAATTGGACTTTGAGCTTTGTAACTTTGCTGATCTTTTTTATGCTCAAACAGCAACATTACAGACTAACTAAAGTTGAAAAAGCATAATAGGACCCCTTTAAAAACATCTATTTATCCTCTTGCATCGCAGTGATGTTGAATTCCTAACGTACAGTCTGTTTCTTGCCTCTCTTTCCTCAAAGGGCATCGGATGCTACATGTTTCGCATTGATGACTTTGATGTGGTGGACGCCACCATGCACGGAAACGCGGCACGATTTATAAATCACTCCTGCGACCCTAACTGTTACTCGAGAGTCATCAATGTGGAGGGCCAGAAGCACATCGTTATATTTGCCCTGCAGAAGATTTACCGTGGAGAGGAGCTCACCTACAACTACAAGTTCCCCATTGAAGATGCAAACAACAAGTTGCACTGTAACTGCGGGGCCCGGCGCTGCCGACGCTTCCTGAACTAAAACCGGCATGTTTACTCAATGGCAAATGGGCGGAGAAAGGAGGTTTAGGAGGGGATATTTTGGTATGGGTGGCTATTTATGAAGGAAGACACTCATTACAGGTGCTTAATGGTGTGGAGATGAATTATTCTGAAGGAAACACAATATTGAGATTGTTTGGCAGGGTGTGTGGCCTTTTTAGACCACCAGCACGTCTTGATTGGTTACCTTGCGCGAGTTATATTTCCTACCCCAACATTTAACAACCCAGTAACGTCCTGCACTGGATGAGGCCGTTTGCTTTGATTCAACAATTAAAAATTGTGACCTTAAACGAATACCCTTACCTATTTCACCTGTCCTTATACTACTTTGTCCCAGCATGCCTTTCAAATCTTGCCACTGGTGGCTGGTAATGTTGTAGATCTATTCTGGAAGGATCCTTTAGTGTCAGAATAAATGTACAGAGGTTTTCATAGTGGAGGATACCCTAAAGTTTGAAAGGGTGTGATTATTTTTGCTACTGAATCAAGAGGAGTTCCTGTTATAGGTCGTCCTCAACAGCACCTTAATAATCTTTGCTCTTTTTTTGTGGAAATGTAAGCACTGTACATATTCTCCAGAACAGATGTACTTTTTAGTCGAACCATGAAAAATCTTGCCACACAACCTAGTTTCTAACAGGAGCCTGTGTGTTTCCAGAACATTGACATTTGTATATTTCACAGTGTTTTTTTTTTCTTTCTTTTTATTTAATGGATGCAAATGAATGCATCACTTATAGGACATTTTTAAACCAAATTTACCACCCTTGACTGGCACATTAATTTAAGTTAGAGTACCTTTGCTCTGAATGCATATACAGACCGTTTTACTGCATTCATAGTAATTCATAAGACTTCACCCGAAGCCCAATTTTTGATTTTGGTTTTAAGAACCCACTGTTTTTATGTGCTTTTATGTCTTGAGGCCAGTCTTTTGGGGGTCAATTGTAATATTCTACATATTAGGATCACTTGTGTAGTGTTAAAGATGTGAAGAATCCCATTCTGATCGTCAGTGCACAAGTATTTAAGGAATTATTCAAAACCATACTCATGAATGGTGGCTTTAGCTGGAAACAGCCGATGTGCTGCTAATAGCCATTTGTCTTCTTTTGATACCCTTCCTCTCGCAGCACGTTTAGACCGACTCTCATCTCCACTTGGGTTGACTACCTCAGTACATCAGTGACAGCTAGTAAGTTACAGTACAAACAGTAGTATAAAGAATGCTGGGGATAATCCCGCACTAGCTTTGATTTTATGCAGTGTGATTGTAGGGGTTGTTTGTTTCATTTGTTTGTTTTTCCAGAGAATTCCCGGATCCCTCTTCCCTCATGCTTTTGTACAGTATTGAAGTGTGCTTATTATTAAAAATGAAGACTGTGGCTTGATTCCATCACTGGACGTGAACCCACTCAGAGTGAATCTTTGTATAAAGTTGTATACAAGAATTTCTAAATCTGTTAAATTTTTCTACGCACTTTTTTTTTAATTTATGATGTTCTGTATGTAATAAAGATACAAAAATATTTGAACAAAGAGCAATCTTGATTTTTGTTTCAAATATTTTAAGTCATATAGAGCATGTCATTTCAGAGAAAAAATTCTTTAAAAGTCTTTAACTTGATTTGACCTTAAAATCTTTTTGGAAATTGTTTTTGGCTTTTATCTGAGCATTTGTAAGGTTTAATTATTCAAACACAATGTCTGTTGATCAAATGTATATGATGTTAGTTATAAAAAGTTTGCTTCATTTAGAGAATTAGATTTACATTTCACTTATTTATTCACCATCAGCGTATATGCTAATTGCCTAGAATCATTCCGTCAGCTTTTATATTTCTATTTTAATGGTTAAATAAGATTCTTCTTTGGCATGCCTTTAATTTTATGTTAAGATATTTGTTATGATGTAATATCTTGAGCATTTTTTATAACTAATTCTGAAAAGTTACATTTTATTGTCTGTTATAATGAAATAGATCATGCAACTCCTTGTTCATGCTAATCTCATCTAAATATGCTAGAATTGAAATTTACATGCACACTACTAATAATAGGAAGAGACTCCTCTCTGCAATATGCCTTTTTTGTCCAGTTTTGCCTGTGGAAAGTTGATCTGAATAGACACCATCAGTAAGAACCAATGGACAAAACATTCAAATATTAACAGATAAATGTTTGTTTAGTCCCGCCATGCTGCTCATCTGCCCTTCTGCCCCGCTCACTGTTGAAATGTGCACACATTTACTCTGCTGTGAACAGGTGACCATGTAATGACCCTTATAAGCAACAGTCAGACAGTGAGGGCTATTTCGTATGCACACAGACTCAAAAAGGTATTGTTTATTGCTTGTGTTGTCAATAATATTCAGTACAAAGTAAACATGCATTGACTTTGGTTTTCTGAATCCATGCGTAATGCTACCTCTGTTTTCCTCTCTTACAGCATAAAACAGAAACATGAATAAGATTTTGGCCATCTTAAGTTTAACTGCATTTCTCTGCTGCTGTGGTATAGTAATTGTTTTCGTGGCGCAATATTTAAACTGAAAACATTTTATTAGAGAAAATATCTGGATGAATTGGCGTTGTCTTTTGTGGTAGCTATTACTCATTCTGTTCCTCTGACACTGTTTTTGATTCTGTCTTTGAAGGTGTGCAGAGTGCTGAATCATATGACTTGAGACGACAAATCGTCAATTCTGGGACTGTAGTCTTTTTAGACTTCCTGGAAAAAGTCAGAAACGCTACAGAGAAATTAGTGAGAGATGAGCAGTTTAGAAAATCAAGGTATGATCAGCTATGGGTTATGCACTGCTATTGAATTGTTGGTTTAGCCGTTGCCTGATCATCACCTTTTTCTGTAATTTTACAGGATTTCTATCCAAGGATACATGAAAACCTTAAGAGAGTTGGCAAAACCACTGAAAAATTGTGAGAGTGCTAGAGAGAGCCAGGATAATTCAGCTATATTGCCACAGTAAGTCTGTCCACATTTATATTATACATATATTACTGTATAATCATAATAACATTGCTTATTCTGAGCTCGTGTCAAGAACACGATTCACAAAGGTTCAAAAGTTTATATATACGCTTAATTCTTAATAAGCCGTGTCGTAATTTGGATGTTTTGTGATGTTAAGTTCTTTGTCCTGAGCATTTAAACTGCCTGCAGTTCTTCAGAGAAGTCTTCCAAGTCCTGCACATTCTTTGGTTATTCAGCATCTTTTGCATATTTGAACCCCTTTCAACAGTGACTGTATGATTTTGAGATTCATCTTTTTACACTGTGGACTATATAGACGTATTCACAGTAGTAATGCAGTGTTCTTCATTTATGAAACAAATACTATTTCAGCTTTAAATAAGCTCTAAAAAGACAATAGTGTCATAGTGTTGATTCAGCAAAGTTAGTGTCATTATCCAGCTTAATTTAGTGGAAATTGTGGTCTCATTCAGTAGTGACAGTGCAGTTAAATCAAAGATATTGCTGAGTATTAATTGTCTTTTAAACCTAAATTCCAAGACAAAATAAGAGTAATTTAGACCAGTATATTTCTTCTGTGTTGCTATTGTTATAGTTGTGATGTGAACTTCTCAATTCTCTTAGAATGATTAGAATATTTTTTTTAACCTTATAAAGTTATAGTTATCATTCTTAGTGTTATTAACTGATTAGATTAAGAACAAATTTGTATGTAATGAATTTAAAGTCCAAATTTGGATCCAATAGTTTTATATAATTTTAGGCCCATCTCTAATATTTATTTTTTTATCAAAAATTTTGGAGAAAGTGGTTTTTCATCAGCTGCAGAGATTTTTGAATGACAATAGGGGTTTTTATGTTTTCCAATCAGATTTTAGAAAGTTTCACTCTACAGAGACAGCACTTGTAAAAGTTTTAAATTATGTTTTAATGGCCACTGACTCAGGTGACTCTGTTGTACTGGTACTATTAGATTTAAGTGCAGCATTTGATACAGTTGACCATGAGGTCTTGCTTGCTCTGCTAGAACATGTTGTGGGCATCAGAGGAACTGCATTAAGTTGGTTTCAGTCATATCTTAAAAATAGAAGCTTCTCAATCAATATTGGACGATATTTTACTGGGGCTGTTCCACTGACTTGTGGGGGTCCCCCAAGGCTCTATTTTGGCCCCTTTATTGTTTTTTTATATATGCTTCCTTTAGCCTCTGTTTTTGAAAAGCATGGCTTGTACTATCACTGCTATGCAGACGATACTCAACTTTATTTGCCCCTGAAGCATAAAAATGGTGTAGACTCCCTCTGTGCCTGTCTTTCCGATGTCAAAGCCTGGATGTCTTTGAATTTTTTTAATCTAAATGAGAGTAAAACAGAGGTCATTGTGTTTGGCTCTTCTGAAGTCCCAAACATTTCTCATGTAAATTCTGGTGTTTTTTCTTCTTCAGTTAAATCAGGTGTAAAAAAAACTTGGGTGTCTTTTTCAATAGTGCAATAAATTTAGTTGTCAAATCAAGTTTTTCCAATTAAGAACATTGGCTAAAGTGAAGACCTTCCTTTCTTTTAAGCACTTTGAAACTGCAATTCATGCTTTTATTTCTTCTAGAATTGATTATTGTAATTCCCTGTATCTGGGAATAAACAGTTCTTCAATATCTAGATTACAAATAGTCCAAAATGCAGCTGCACATCTTTTAACCGGTCTTTGTAAATACGAACATATTACTCGTGTGTTAATGCCTTTACATTGGTTCCCAGTATGCTTTAGAATTAATTTTAAAGTGCTTTTGCTTGTTTTTAAATGTTTAAATGGTCTCACTCCCCCTTACCTCTCCGACCTGTTGTGTGAATATCTTCCGGAAAGAACTCTTAGGTCTGCCAACCAGAGTTTGTTAACTGTTCCAAAGTCAAAAATAAAATCTAGGGGTGATCGAGCTTTTGCCATAGCCACACCTAAACTTTGGAACACGTTACCGATCCATATTAGAACTGCACCAACATTACATATATTTAAATCAAAGTTAAAAGCGTATCTCTTCAATATAGCCTATGACTTGTGGTTTGTATACATGTTTTATACGTTTTTTACAACATTGTACAGCTCATTGGTCAACTGCAGTTGTTTTTAATTGTGCTTTATAAATAGAGACTTAAGACTTTTTTTTTGTTAACTTCAACATTGTATTTAATCTGTTTAAAAGACATCTCTATATAACTTTTTTCTTTTTCTGTTTCCTAGAACTGCATCTGGACTGATTGTTTTTTACTGGGATAAAGTTTTGGAACACACTGAAAGCCCATCGTTCCATGCAGAATACTTGGATTCAATGAAGTAAGAGTACAGCGATGCACAAATATATAAGAATATGAAGTAAAATGAGCATTGAAGAAAATTCTTGAGTTTTGTCTGTTACAGGCAATGGGCAGAGCTAACCGAGTTGAAAAACCTAAGTGTAAAGTATCATGTGCTTTTAGACCCGGATACAAGGCGCAGTTTTTTGAAGTAAGGAAGAAAGATACTCAGAATGTGGAATATTACAAATGTCATTTATTGTTAACTTCAACATTGTATTTAATCTGTTTAAAAGACATCTCTATATAACTTTTTTTCTTTTTCTGTTTCCTAGAACTGCATCTGGACTGATTGTTTTTTACTGGGATAAAGTTTTGGAACACACTGAAAGCCCATCGTTCCATGCAGAATACTTGGATTCAATGAAGTAAGAGGACAGCGATGCACAAATATATAAGAATATGAAGTAAAATGAGCACTGAAGAAAATTCTTGAGTTTTGTCTGTTACAGGCAATGGGCAGAGCTAACCGAGTTGAAAAACCTAAGTGTAAAGTATCATGTGCTTTTAGACCCGGATACAAGGCGCAGTTTTTTGAAGTAAGGAAGAAAGATACTCAGAATGTGGAATATTACAAATGTCATTTAAATCAATACATAATTAATCCCAGGGATATTCTAATTTTTTTTCAGGCTACTAAAGTGATTTCCTAATTAACATTAGAGTCACTTGAACCATAATGATCCACTGTTAGTATGTTAGATCCTTAATCTGCACTCTAAAAAATGCTGGGTTGTTTCAACCCAACTTTGGGTCAAATATGGACTAACCCAACTTTTGGGTTAAAAATGTAACCCAATGGCTGGGTTAATCCATATTTGACCCAAAGTTGGGATGAAACAACCCAGCATTTTTTAGAGTGTAAATAACTGTTGAGTTTAATTCTGTTGGGTTTTTATTTTATTTTGGAGGTTTCACTCTGCATTGTATCATTCATCTATCATTTCATTGTTCTTTTCTAGTTGGACTGAACTTCATTTTGGTAAATTCTTTGAGGCCGCGGCCCAGGAATATTATAATCGTGGAAATGCAGCTCTTGGTTTGGACAGATTCAATCAGTCCAACTGGTAAATCTCATTTGAAACTTTGTTTCGTGCCATTATTTATGGTAAACGAATATGTAACCACATATCTGACATTTCATGTTCATGCAGTTCGTGTTTCAAAAGCTTGTTTCAGATGAATTACACAAACATGGAGATATATTTAATAAACATCGGACAGAACTTAATACCTAAAGCAATGTAAATGATTTAAAGGTTTAAAACGAAAAAGATCCATCCATTTTCTTTTGTATGTTTCACAGGGCTGTTGTCAAAAGTTCGGTTGTTTACTCTCTTCCTGTTTATGAAAAGCTGTCTGAAGTTGGATTTGGGATTACTGAGGTCAACAGGTTTCTTCACAAAGTTAACCACATAACTCTTATTCTTGAAGGGAACGATATAACCTCTAACAGGTAAGAAACGTAAAACATCTGTGTGAGGCTCGTATTTGTTTACTCTGTAAATATTAATATATTAAGACTTTTTTTGTCTTGCAGACAAACCTTTTTGGAGAGTTGCATTCGTGGTATTTTGTATTTACTTACTCTAGAAATTGAAGAGGAGAAAACCAATAGCAAAGATAACCAACTATTACTGCCTTTGCGGTAAGACAATGTAATAAAATGCCTTCATGAAAATCATTTTGAACCAGTAAAACAGAATATGTTTGTATGTTGTTGATATATTTGTCCAGATTAGAAGGCCTAGTGCTTTGCTCTCTTGATATAATGCATATATAATCTATTCCTCTTTAAAAATCATTGTTTGTTTGCTATAGAGTAATTAGGAGAGTGTTCCTAGATTTGTGGAGCTCTTTTCTCAGATTTGCAAATTTCGTCTATTTTGATGAGACTGAATTTCAGCAAACACAGAGGTAAGACATGTCCTTTTGTATTTTTTATATATCCACTATCCAGTGTGGTGAGGTTGGAAATCTGCTGAACTGCCTGGTTCTGAGACACTTTGTTGGCTGAAATTTAGCATGTTCTTGTGTATGATTTTTGTTCATTTATGAGGAGAGCAATCAAACAATCAATCGGAAATGTTTTTTTTTTTCCAGAAAATGGAATGATACGAGGAACATCATCATTAATGAGTTATTAAAAAGTAATGCATTTACTCGAAAGCAGCTTGAAGAAGCACCAAAGTAAGGAAAGGTCAAGTTTAATTTTAAGGACAAGGATTTATTTGTTAATATATGGCTCTAAAGCTGAAAATGTAAATATTTAAAGACATGTTTGTTCTTAATTGCCGTTTTTGGTTTAATGAGTTCAGCATCTTTTTAAAGTTCATATTTGACTGGCTCTCTTTTTGTTTTTCAATTATAAAGAAACTTTGTTCAAGCCATTCACCGGATCCTGGAGAAACTGGAGCAGTATACTGATCTTGTTGATGACTTTGATGAAAAGATCGATCCAACTGTTTTGTAAGATTATCATTTTCTTACCATATCTGCATTTGAACCGAAACCGTATTTGAATGTCACTTTTTGTGTAAATAAAAGATTGATGATAAATACCAGTTTATATTGCAAGTTCATATTATCAAGTGCAATCAATAAGATTCACAATATTTATTGTTCCTCAGAGCCTTCAAGAAGTCGATGCATCACACAAACCTCATGTTTAATGATGTCTGGAACCTGCTGTTGGACTCAACGCTTTAATATTTGAAGGCAATGCCAAGATTGTGACTGCTGGCAATAAACAGGATTATACCAGCAATGTATTAACTGTTATTGCATACCTGCCTCTGAAAGAATATTAGGATAATTGCATTGGTGAACATTGAGTAAAACAAATTCCACTCTATTTGTTCCACTGTAATGCTTTCTTTTCATCAAAAACATGATTTGTTGCATTTCATACACATTTTTGTCCTCCAGCATCTTAACACATTCATTTAAAAAGCTTAATATCAATAATATCTGGATCTACTTTCATGTGTTAACACTTGAAAATAGATCCAATTAATAGATACAAATAAATAAAAATGTGTCTGTGCACTGTGTGAGTAAGAAATAATTAAATGATAGATCGCAACAACTAGATTTCATACTAGCTTATTTATATATGTATATATATATATATATGTATATATTTCTATTTTTTTTCTCCACTAGCTACTTCAAAATAACTGATTTTATCTGGCATCAATTTATGTTCAAAAATATTTTGAATAAAACCAAAATCTAGGCAAAAGGATCTTAACTATAGTAAGGCTTAGTCAGGTATATTCTATTAACATGTAAAAGATCATAGAAAATTAATTTTATTATTGGTGGAAAAAAAAAACCTAGAAGGAGTCCTGGGGTCATAGGCGTAGTCTAAAGTTTTGACAGTCTTGGTAAAGTAGGGCTTATCTAAATAGAAGCTTTTGTCTCATTTGATGAATGTAATGAAGGCCAATTTTAATTTTCTTGACGAATTTTGTCCGAACAATGTACGTGTTGAAAACTACACAATGTCTAAATATAAGTGTACTCCATGCCTTATGCAGAAAATGTGCATTATATAAATGCATTTTCCCATTATAAAAAGAGAAACACTGCACTGTGTACTACTGTGCACAATAATGCACTGCCTAAAACACTTATTTTTAACGATGTCGAATTTTTAAGAACCAGAATCATTTGTAGAATTATTCTAAGCACTTAGAACGTCGTTTTGTTGTTGTTGTCTTTTGCTAAATTCAAATGGCAACTCACATGAACAACTATGAATTTCTAAAAAGTGTTTCACTAACAACGCTATAATAAATTTTGCAGCAATAACCAGCTGGATGTACATTAACCCTTACCTGACTACTGTAACGATTTAACATTTAGTTGTAACCCTGTGATTATTACACACCTGACTAATAATGATGTTGTACACTATATTCTTAATGAGTTTATTAAAAGCAGTCAATTAATATATCAATGGATTTCACTTGTTTAGTCAACTACGAATCATGTTTATCCAAATTACACCATTATGCGAGTCTAAAGCACTTTGTTTCCATATTGGAGAGAGTGGTTTCAACATATCACGGTTATCATACTACTCCTAGGTTAGGTTGAGAGACATCTCCAGCCCTCTTAAAGAGATAGATCACCCAAAAATGAAAAGTCAGTCATTAATTACTCACCCTCGTCTCATTCCAAACCTGACCTTTGTTTATTTTCGTAAGACCAATGAAGAAATATTTGATGAGATCTGAGAGCTTTCTGAACCTGCATAGAAAGCTACACAACTGACAGGTTCAAAGCCCAGAAAGGTAGTAAGGACATCATGAAAACAGTCCATCGTTGTACTGTCGTGAATGCGTGTCAAAGACGTACACGGAAGAGAAGAAATTGTTGAATAAAGTCGTTATTTTTGTTTTCTTTTTGCACAGAAAGTATTCTCGTAGCTTCATAAAATTACGGTTGAACCATTGTTGTCACATGGACTATTTTAACAATGTTCTTACTACCTTTCTGGGCCTTGAACATTTCAGTTGCATTGCTGTCTATGGAGGGACAGAAAGCTATTGGATTTCATCAAAAATATCTTAATTTGTGTTCCCAAGATGAACGAAGGTCTTACAGGTTTGGAACGACATGAGGGTGAGTAATTAATGACAGAATATTCATTTTTGGGTGAACTATCCCTTTAAATCATTTAGGAGCTGAGACCTAGTTGTAGCACTTTTATCTTTATTAATCACACTTATTCTTAAGTGTAGGAAAATTACACCATTCCAAGAATTTTGACATACTTGAGACTAAAATTTTACTCTGTGCAGCTCCTGATTTTCAACATTTTTTTATGTTCTAGTGAGTTACTGACCCTAAAAACTGATGTTGACTGAAGAGCTCTCCACGAGGCCGCCGAAGTTTCAGCAAAGGATAAATGGATTTCCAGCACTGAAAATCGCTTGCAGTAGCTCTGCTACTAAATTTATTTTAAATGGGTGTCTCTGTACAGCTGTCGCGTGCGGTATAGACACCGTGTCTGTGTGTGAGCAAAGAAAACAATCAGTATAAATATAACGATCAGTATACTAAACATCGCACATCCTGCGATGTGACTGGATGCGCACATCGCGATATCGATGCTGAAATGCTATACCATGCAGCCCTACTGAGAACATTATATTTCACACACTTTAAGCTCTTTTATTTTCTAAATGTAATAGGATTAATCCAACGAATCGTTCGGTTTGTAATGCGTACCGAACCGAAAGCCTCGTACCGAACGGTTCAATATGTATACGTGTATCGTTACACCCCTAATATATATATATATATGTATATATTTCTATTTTTTTTCTCCACTAGCTACTTCAAAATAACTGATTTTATCTGGCATCAATTTATGTTCAAAAATATTTTGAATAAAACCAAAATCTAGGCAAAAGGATCTTAACTATAGTAAGGCTTAGTCAGGTATATTCTATTAACATGTAAAAGATCATAGAAAATTAATTTTATTATTGGTGGAAAAAAAAAACCTAGAAGGAGTCCTGGGGTCATAGGCGTAGTCTAAAGTTTTGACAGTCTTGGTAAAGTAGGGCTTATCTAAATAGAAGCTTTTGTCTCATTTGATGAATGTAATGAAGGCCAATTTTAATTTTCTTGACGAATTTTGTCCGAACAATGTACGTGTTGAAAACTACACAATGTCTAAATATAAGTGTACTCCATGCCTTATGCAGAAAATGTGCATTATATAAATGCATTTTCCCATTATAAAAAGAGAAACACTGCACTGTGTACTACTGTGCACAATAATGCACTGCCTAAAACACTTATTTTTAACGATGTCGAATTTTTAAGAACCAGAATCATTTGTAGAATTATTCTAAGCACTTAGAACGTCGTTTTGTTGTTGTCTTTTGCTAAATTCAAATGGCAACTCACATGAACAACTATGAATTTCTAAAAAGTGTTTCACTAACAACGCTATAATAAATTTTGCAGCAATAACCAGCTGGATGTACATTAACCCTTACCTGACTACTGTAACGATTTAACATTTAGTTGTAACCCTGTGATTATTACACACCTGACTAATAATGATGTTGTACACTATATTCTTAATGAGTTTATTAAAAGCAGTCAATTAATATATCAATGGATTTCACTTGTTTAGTCAACTACGAATCATGTTTATCCAAATTACACCATTATGCGAGTCTAAAGCACTTTGTTTCCATATTGGAGAGAGTGGTTTCAACATATCACGGTTATCATACTACTCCTAGGTTAGGTTGAGAGACATCTCCAGCCCTCTTAAAGAGATAGATCACCCAAAAATGAAAAGTCAGTCATTAATTACTCACCCTCGTCTCATTCCAAACCTGACCTTTGTTTATTTTCGTAAGACCAATGAAGAAATATTTGATGAGATCTGAGAGCTTTCTGAACCTGCATAGAAAGCTACACAACTGACAGGTTCAAAGCCCAGAAAGGTAGTAAGGACATCATGAAAACAGTCCATCGTTGTACTGTCGTGAATGCGTGTCAAAGACGTACACAGAAGAGAAGAAATTGTTGAATAAAGTCGTTATTTTTGTTTTCTTTTTGCACAGAAAGTATTCTCGTAGCTTCATAAAATTACGGTTGAACCATTGTTGTCACATGGACTATTTTAACAATGTTCTTACTACCTTTCTGGGCCTTGAACATTTCAGTTGCATTGCTGTCTATGGAGGGACAGAAAGCTATTGGATTTCATCAAAAATATCTTAATTTGTGTTCCCAAGATGAACGAAGGTCTTACAGGTTTGGAACGACATGAGGGTGAGTAATTAATGACAGAATATTCATTTTTGGGTGAACTATCCCTTTAAATCATTTAGGAGCTGAGACCTAGTTGTAGCACTTTTATCTTTATTAATCACACTTATTCTTAAGTGTAGGAAAATTACACCATTCCAAGAATTTTGACATACTTGAGACTAAAATTTTACTCTGTGCAGCTCCTGATTTTCAACATTTTTTATGTTCTAGTGAGTTACTGACCCTAAAAACTGATGTTGACTGCTATCCCTTTAAATCATTTAGGAGCTGAGACCTAGTTGTAGCACTTTTATCTTTATTAATCACACTTATTCTTAAGTGTAGGAAAATTACACCATTCCAAGAATTTTGACATACTTGAGACTAAAATTTTACTCTGTGCAGCTCCTGATTTTCAACATTTTTTATGTTCTAGTGAGTTACTGACCCTAAAAACTGATGTTGACTGAAGAAATATTGACCTAGACAAAAGCACACCTTGGACTTTCACACTGATCTACATTATTTTCAAAGAGCATTAAACTCATGGCCTAGATTCAATTTAATTTTGACAGATTGCATTTCTTGTACAAAACATTTATCAGTCCCTGTAATCTGACATTGTCAAAATCTCATATATTGTCTTTTTTCCCCCCAGTTTGGCATGTACATGCATGCACTACTCTGAACTGTTCATGTGAATTAACTAGAGTTACAGTACCTTAAAGTTTTATGTGGTAACCTTTCTTTTGCTTTTGTGTTTTAAGGAAAATAGTCTTATTTTAACATATTAACATATTGACCAAAAACTTGGAATTGAAAAGAAGCAATTAAATATATACGGTCTGCACTACTATTGTGACCTTTAGAGTTTACTTTGAAACACTTCCCATGAGAGGTAAGAGCAGACAGACTGCAATGTAAGTTCAGTAGGCGTGTGCACATAAATGAAAGTTAATTTCAATAGAGAGAAAGTTGAGTCCAGCTTTTTACTCCTGATGTTTAAGTCCACAGTGAATATGTTGTGATCTCTTTCTGTTATTTAGTTTTTTGTTCTGAGGAAGA